GGTTTTTTTTTTAATTAAAAAAATATATTTGGCCCCCCCCCCCCCCCCATATATATACACACCGAAAAGTCTCGGTTAGTATGAACTCAATATATATTTATTTTTATTTCATATTAATTGAATTTGTAAGATAATATATATCTATTAAAAAAATATATAAAGATATAATTTTAATTATACTTTTTCATTATGGTCTGTTGCGGAATTATAAATATAACTTTGTATGTAATGCTATCTTCTGAAAAATATCAAACTTCATAAAGGAAATTACAAATATGATTATTTTTTTTCAAATATCCATCTTAAACTTTGAACAATTCAATTATATTGAACAATGACGAAAACTCAAAAATCTCTTAATATGAAATAGAGAGATTATTTTTTTGTCTCAATTTATGCAACAAAAACGAAATTTAGAGAGTCAATATTCAAATCTTTTTAATTTTTTTTTGATGTTATTATTTATTATATATTGCTAAATATTTAGATTGTTAATTATTATAATTTATAGTATTTTTAACGTTATTTTTAAATATATAATCAAATATTGTAAGTTGTAATGATTGTAACTTACCGTACTTAATTTTTAAATATATAATTAATTAAAAAGAAAAATAAGACAAATAAATTACAACATAAAAAGTATTAAAATTTCTAGGAGTACAACTGGCTAGATATAGGCATGTCGATGAACAACTGCTTGCTTCTAGCTGAAATAAGATCCACGCGTTTTGAGCAAATCACTCTTAACTATAAAACACAGCTTACACACAATATCGTCCAAAAATTGTATATTTATAGCTTCTTGCAGTGCCTTTCATTGTCTGTGAAAATACTATTAAAGATTTTTCTTTCTTTGAAATCAAATTAATTTGGAGTTATTTTAAAAAAAAATCATTAGTAGAGAGTGCTAAATCATCAATAGAGAGTACTATTTTGAACAACCTTATTTAACATTGCTAATACAAATTTAAATTAATTAAACTCTAATAAACATATTATTAGGAAAGAAAAACTAAATTTGTGGTTTTCATGATTGGATAAACCTAAATTTATACATATATACCTTGAGCTTTAATAAATAAACCCACAAAAGGTAATTCTGACAACATTCTTTCTAAAATAAGAAAATTGGTTGAGGAGCACATCTAAATAAAGAAAAAAGGAAAAAAGAAGAAGAAAAACATACGTAATATATACATTGCTTAATATATTAGTTAATCCTTTAAATTTAACAAAATATTTTATTTAGGTATTCCAACTAAATCATATTTTTATTAAGTATCTAAATTTCTAAAAATATAATTAATCATTTATAACGTTTTATTCATCTCTAATTATATACACCAACTTCAAATAGAAACACTTAATATTTATACAGTTAATTTAATTATTTAACCATCTAATAAAAGTGAGAAAACTCACCAATATTATTTTCAAAATTTGAACACAAATATATAACTAATATACTTTATTAAAAAATTAGGTGTCTAATTGAAACAAAATTTAGTTTCAGCATGAAATAGAATATTTGATTTTTTTTTTTTTTAATACATACACATTGTCAGATACATTTCTGTCAATATATATATATATATATATTATATCGTCTTCATACACACTGGAGTTCAGTTGTGTCTAGGGTTCCCCATTTTAGCTGTGCGATTCAATGCAATCAAGCAGAAGAATCCTTGCTCTTTAAACCACTGGTAAACTTGTTTATTCACGTTGCTTATGTGTATATATATATATATATCTGCTTCTCATCTCTCTCTTTTTTCAGTTTTTTTTTCCTGAGAGTTAAGCTGTTTGTCTCTGCGATTTAGGTTACGGAGGTGAAAAAACTAAGAAGAAAGAGGTTGGTGGGCGATTGCAAATGCCGGAGGAAGATTTGATAGAAGTTAAGTTTCGTTTGTTCGATGGATCAGATGTGGGTCCATTTCGATTCTCCCCGGCTTCAACCGTAGCTATGCTGAAAGAGAGAATTGTCGCTGAGTGGCCTAAAGGTTAGTAAAATTACGTCATTTGTTACTCTTTGGAGGCTGGTGTAGCGTAATTGAGATGTTTTTGGTTGAATTTTGTTAATTGTTTATGGAAATGGGAAAACAGGGTTTGATGAGAATACCCATAAATCTAATGATACCTAGCACCCTAAGGAGAAGTATTCAGTACCTTATCAGCCTCCAGCCCAAATAAATGTTTGAAAAAAGTGTTTTTTGTTTGCATTTTTTGGGCTTTTAGTTGTGGTTTTGGTGATTTTTATGGAATTAAGCGATGGATTTTTTAATCTGAGATTTTGATTGATAAGGCTAAAATGAAAATGGCCTAAAGTTCACATCAAATAGCTAAAGAGATTGTAGCCATGTTAACTTTCTAATACCAAACCCACTTATATGCAAAATGACAAGCAGAATACCTAGTTAGGACAAATCCCTGTGGCACACCTATCCAACACGGTAATCCTTATACACCGAACCTTTCTAAAGTGTCTAACAAGCAACACCACTTTTGCTACGTGCACAAAATAGGTACGTTGTGCCTGTAAGAATTTTGTCCCATCCCATATTTGATATCCCCATCCCCCATAGAACCCCTCCCCCCCTCTCTCCCACACAGGAGATCCAAAATTTCAGATATGAAAATTGAGTGCTTGTTGTTCAAATTTTGTTGAATCGGTTATTTTGTGCGACTTACAAGCTTTAAGACTGATATTTGTGAAGTTTGGGTGGAAAAATTAAGGAATCTACCATTGTTGGGCATAGATTTCACCTACCATTGTTGGGCATTGAGAAAACTTGAAAATCCAACTGGGTCTTGTTGACCGTTGAGTTGTTGTGCTGAATTCATTTTGGGTTTTAATCGATTAGTTGTTTATGGGAACTTTCTCATGGACAACCATGGTGGTGGCAGCCACGATATCGATTAAATGTTCATGACATGTGTCACGACCATATTGGGGCCTGACATACACATGGTTTTGATAACTGGCCAAGCACAAAAGTGGTGTGTAAAAGATACTTTGCAAAGATTGGCTGTGTAAAAGGTTATTCGTATTGGCCAAAGGTCTCTGATTGTTCTCCATACCAACCCCATAGTCGGCTAACATCTTTAACTGCTTCTACATCTAATTCATAAATCTAAAATGATTTTTGAATTAACACTAAGGGATGCAGTAGAATAGATGATACTGGGTTTGGATCCTGAGAATGGAGAAATCTCTTTTAGGGAACGCATAACCCTCAATGAACTTTATATATTTCGTTTAATTTTAAGTTGTTTAGTTTGTTTGTCCAGATAATCATTTTCTTTGTTTAATAGTTATTATTTCTTACATTAGGTATTTGTATTGTGCATGCGTGCACACACGTATAGAGATAGGTGGGACTTGTGAGGTTGTGAACATCTAGTTTCAAAGAACTCATAATTTGCCTTGTTAGACAAATTATATAGTGTTGTAATTAATTGGTCTACATGGAGATTGATAAAGAGGATTAACTTTGAAGCACAACTTTTTTGATAATTTAACTTTTGTTAAAAGAGCTTTAGTTCAGTATTTAAGTCAACCAAATGGGACCAAAATTCTAGCACAATACTCACTGGACGAATGAACAATCAAATCAGTATAAGAATTTTGGTTGAGGTTATTGTTACCTATTAAAAGAAATAAGAATCTTGATTGAGGTGAGTTGGTTATGACCTGCAATTTGGCTATCCCTATTTTGCTTTATGCCATACAGAAAAGTCTATTGATATCTGAATCCTTTAAAGCCTTCAATTTTTGGCAGATTTTCATTTTATTAACTTACTATAAACTATATATTCAGAAAAGTGGCAAAAGGTTATTATTTATTTCTGTGTGGCCTCTAATTTCCTGAGATTAAGTTGTGATGCTCTCTTAGCAGATAAGAAAATTGCACCCAAGGCGGCAAATGATGTCAAGTTGATAAGTGCTGGGAAAATTTTGGAAAACAACAGGACTGTTGGTCAATGTAAGACGCCTTTCGGTGAACTACCTAATGGTGTGATTACCATGCATGCTGTTGTACAGCCATCAGTAGGTAAATCAAAATCAGGTGGGTTCCTCTTACTTGATTTGTGGTAATATACACTGGTTTTACCCTTTCTATAATGTATTTGTATTTTGAGGCTATTGGTGATTCTGTTATGTAACCTAACTAAATCTGTGTGTTTAGAAAAAAATAAGGACAATAATCTTCTTCGTCTGCTTTTTAATATCTTAATTGTCATGCAGTATAGTTAACTAGTCACTTGGTTGTACGTACCTTATTTTTAACATGGTAATGCTTTTTATATCTATGGTTCTTGACAATTTTTGCCTTACAAAGAAATTTCTGTGGTACGTGCCAAAAATTTCAAATGATTGCAATGGCTCATGACCAGGGACCATTTTCAAATGTATGTCGTCTTAATTGCAGTTGTTCATATGGTATACTGAATATTTTAGCTTTTGGAACTGAAAGTATGAAGTTAGAATCTTGTTTCAATCATCATAAGCAAGATAGTATTAACTCCTCAAGTGACAGAGATTCAGTTTCTGTATTTGCATGTCTTAGCTTGCATGTCATTTCTTCATTTTAGAAGAGATCAAATGGGTGTACTACAAATTCAACTGTATAGTCATAAACTGTAACAATAAAAAAGGAGTGCTGCAGGTTGCTTGACCTGAAGTTCTAGTTGATAGCCTAAACCTAGCTCATGTCTTACAGTATAGGGTTTTATATGCCTTCAAATTTGACTGATTCATAGTCCACATATGCAAGAGTTGCTCCAAAACAAATTACTAAACCTATTTAAGTTAAACACAACTAGGTTGATCTCCCACTGAATATTAACAATGGTTACTTATCCTGACACAGTTGTAATTAATGTGAGCTTTCAATTAAGAACATGCTTAATCAAATCTGATTTCACCTAATTTAATGAAGATTGCATTTAAAAAAATGTTACTCTGTCCGTTTCAATATTAGTGTCAAAGTGCGGAGTTTAAGAAAATAACTTTTGAATCTTGTAGTCATAAACTAAGGATATTTGTAATGTGCCAAAATGCCCATTGAATCCCGTGGTTTTAAACAAGCTAAGTAGAGTGTTGGAATTAGAGTGTTACCAACTTTAAATAAGACATTCTTTTGTACGATACTTGAGTTGAAATGGGGGAAGTATCGTTTTGTATATACCATGTTGCATCTTGTAGATATACCACAAATGAAAATTATTGTGATTATGCCGATGGTCAAGAAAGTTAACTTGTGATGATGTGGATAGAGCAATAAGAACAACAAAATTAGAATTGATATTCCCCAAAAAGATTGAAAAAATTATATTATGTTCAGAATTGAGATTTGATAAGTGATTATAATATATGGATTCATCTACTATATATAAGTATATATGGTCCAGGAAACTTGTCGAAAACAACATTACACACTATGTTGGTGACTCGAGAGATTAGGTCATCTGTAGAAAGCATCCCCTGATTTGGTAATAATAGTTGGGATCACATTCCTTCCATAGTAGTTTCATAATCATGAGCCTTCAAGACTAGAAATATTTTTATGTAGATTGAGATGATTAGTGTTTTTTGCTATTGGGTTTAGTCAATGATTTGTTTAGTTAAGCTCATTTCTTTTGAGACCCAGTGTTTTTAGAAATAAGAAGTGCAAAAACGAGGTCGGGCTTGGGGTAAAAAGTGATAAGTGAAGGGCACACTTCTTTGGAATGAAGTACACAATTTAAGAAATTTAAATAATAATCTATGACACAGATGTTGAAGAAAGCTTGCAACTCATCGGTTGCTCTTGAACAATATTACCTCAAAAGCTCCAAATGACATGTTAAGGACCTTTCCATTTTACAACATTATCAGTTTAAAAAAAAAGGTCTTTCCGTTTTAGGTTTTTCAAGATCCACTTTTCCAAAATTATGTGACAGTTTTCATTTTGGAACTCGCGTAAATGTTTGTCATCCTCAAGATAAAAGTTAATTGTATACAATTGTTTTTATGGTGTTAGTTGGAACATGTTAATGATGCTGAATCAGTTCTGCAGATGTTAGAAACCCTTCGGCCTTCAGAATTAGATGGGATATATTCTCTTTTGATTTCAACTGTGTACATGTGTACATCACGTCCTTTGTGCTAGTTTATTTATAAAAAAAACTTCACTTTCTCGGTTTCTCCCAAACAAAAGCTCTCTTAAATGTAACCTAAATGTTGGTTACACTTTTATAAACAATAATATTCAACATGCTTAATTTATAAAAACACACTACTTCTATACACTTCTCATGTTGGTGATGTATCGTAGACTCATTTATTATCTTAAATACTATCATGAGTATCATTAGACATTTTATTATCAAACTCACTTTTGAATCATGATTTTGATGTTTTTCTCTTAGATACATAGGTTAAATGAATTTGTTAAATTCTGAGCCTAGTTTTGACATGAAATGGGGCATACAATGGGACAGGGTGCGTGAGTATTAATGTGTAAAACATGTCTGGCATTGTTAACTATTCTAGTTTGGGACAACCAACTGTTCCAGTTAGTATCAATGTTTTATCTAATTTTTATGAAGATGTTCCGCCTGGTAAATCTCTGAATTTTCTTTTCTTGCTTTTGTTCCAAGTTGTTGGCTGGTTTATAACAATTCCAAGTCTAGAATATCTTGTCAGAATTACCTTTTTTGGGTTGAGATTTGTAAACTTAAGTTTAACCAATCGGGAAAATATTATTAATTTTTTTCCTTCTTATTTAGTGATCGATACTCATATTGAAATTTAACTAATCTGGGTGTCTAATTTGGAAAAGGGGGCTAGAGGTGGATCATTTGATTTTTCAACTGCTAGGATTAAACCTTTTGGATTCTTGATAAGGAGTTTAAGAAAATAGAGTAAACTGTTGTTGAAGAGATTTGAAGTTACAGTATTCTTATGTGAATAGATTCTAAGAGTTCTCTGTGTACTACTTTATTTTCTATTCTTTTGTGACAGCATTCCCTATTCTTTTATGAGAGCTGGTGTGAACTTAAGTTCAGTAATGTAGTGTATAAGATATTTCAACTAATATGTATCACACTAGTAGGAGCCGTCACCCTCCAACATCCGTTGCTTCTACGTACATATCTGATTCTGGAAGGCATGTATGTAGAAAATGTTTTTCCTTTTCCTCTTTATTGTACGTTGTACTTATTTACTTAATAATAAACAATAGTCTTTTCTTCAAATGAATTTGAGACTGGGAGTGTTAATGTGAAGTTGCCCACATGAATTGTTAAAGTTGAGAATACATTAATGAACTTGAAATTAACAAAATTAATGAAATATTCTTTTGGTATATAAAGGATTTTATTACCAAAAGAGAATCTGTACAACACCTTGACATGATAATTTGGAATTGGACAACAAGCCCCAATTTCTAGAGTGACTAATGTGCCTACTTCATTTTTTATTACTAAAATAGGAGCAGATGTGATATGTATTCAAGAAGAGTGTGGGTTTGTTTGGGTGGGGAGGGAGTATGATTATTTTCTGGCACAGGAAAGTGCAGGACGAATACTTATTCTTTGGGATGATAGAAAGGTGAGAGAACAGAAAGGTGGAGTGTGTTGAGCTTAAACAAGGGGGAGTTCATGTTAGGGGTGCGGTTTAGAAACAAAATAGGGCGGAATGCATTTTTTTTTTTTTGGGGTGGGGTGGGTGTGTATGGACCCGTAGAGAAGGGGTCTAAGGTTGAATTTTTGGAGGAATTAGGGGATTGTATGGAGAGGTGGGAGATCCCTTGGGTGTTAGGAAGGGATTTTTAACACTATAAGATTCCTGGAGGAGAGGTTGGGTTGCAGGGCGATTTCCAGGGACATGGAGGAATTCTTGCAGTTTATCGCTAACCATCTTCTTATGGATTTACCTTTGATAGGTGCCAATTTCAACACCAAGCATTATCCAATTCCCTCTCTTGTGGAGATCATTCACCTATTATGTTGGATGGTGGGGGTAGAAGGATGAGATCACTCTTCAGATTCGAGAACACGTGGCTGTGAGTGACAAACTTTGGAGATAGAGTAGCCGGGTGGTGGGGTAGTTATGCTGTAGTGGGGAGACCATCTTTCAGACTTGCAAAAAAAGTAGAGATGCTTAAGAAAGACTTAAGGTGTGGAATAAGAGGTAGTGTTTGGGAGGGTAGAGGTGAAAATGAGGGAGATTATGGATGAGGCGGGGGAGTTAGAAAGAATACAGGTGGGAAGGAAGTTGGACAAGTGGGAAATGGGGAGAAGAAAGAAATTTTAAAAATAGAGTTTGCTTTAAGAGACTAGTTGGAGACAAAAATTGAGGACGTTGGGGTTGGAGTATTGGTATTCTAACACAAGTTCTTTCGCAGGGTAGAAGTTGCAAATAGGAGGAGAAACTTAGAAGAGTCAGTAGA